ATAGGTCTAATATACTCCATGAAGCCCAACACGGTTTCAGGAAAGGGAGATCCTGCGTTACTAACCTACTATCAGCTTGGGACGATTGGACATCATGCTGGGATATGAATGTTCCAGTTCATGTGATCTTTCTAGACTTTGAGAAGGCGTTCGACACTGTTCACCATGACCTTCTCCTACACAAAATAAGCCAGGTAGGTCTAGGTAAACCACTTCTGTCATGGTTGAAGGACTACCTAACTGAAAGGCAATTTTGCACCAAGGTCAATCGAGTCCGATCATCTTGGCACAGCTCGTCATCAGGAGTGTCGCAGGGTTCTATCCTAAGACCACTGATGTTCTTGATTTTTATCAATGGTCTACCATGCCGTCTAAGCTGCCCGACTCTTCTATACGCTGACGACGTGAAGATATGGAGGGCAATAAAGTGCCCGGAGGACTCAGATAGGCTACAGGAAGATCTAAACCTTCTGGAATACTGGGCAGTGGCCAGTGGCATGACTTTCAACTTGAAAAAGTGCAAAGTAGTGAAGTTACACACCTGTAGACTGCAGAATGCAAGTTACACCCTGTGCAATGAAAGCTTGTCCTGCACAACGTCGGAATGCGACTTAGGTCTAGTTCTAGCGGAAAAATTGGACACAAGCGTAAATTACACGGGGGTGTAGCGGGGGCATATGCGGTCATGCACTTTACACAGACAGATAGGTGCACTCACTCATGAGCTCTTTCTAAGGTTGCACAAAACATACATCAGACCACACCTTGAAGTGTATAATATTATTGCACCCCCACTGCTTTGAAGAGACGCCAACCTCTTGGAAAGAGTCCAACGACGAGCAACAAAATGAGTGGTTGGTCTCCGAAATAAACCATATGATGAAAGGCTGAAGAAATTAGGCCTATTCACACTTAGTTACCGTCGTCTTAGGGAGGATTTAATTACTGCCTACAAAATAACAAATGATCAGAATCACCCAAACAAAGGTGTTCTGCCATTGAGTAGGTATAGGCTTCCTCGTGGAAATCCTAGAAGGATAGCTCATCAGAGGGCAAGGACCCGGGTGCGCTCCCACTTCTTTTCCCTGCGGGTTTGCCGTCCCTGGAATTCCTTACCGGCAGATGTAGCTATGGCACCATCTGTGGACGCTTTTAAGCGAAGGCTGGACAACCATGCAGCGACACAAGACTACGTCCATTTGGCCTATCCCCTTAAAATCGCATACACCATTCAGGTGTAGACAATTAAACTTGTCGTTTTACTTCTTTACATTCTCTCCTGCTTTAATCTCCTCACAGCTTTAACTACACCTATTATTATCATTATATATATATAATTCATATTATTCTTCAAACTTAATCAGCTGATTGTTGTTACGTTTTCTTATTCTTTTTCTGTCTGTTAGTCTGAATAACTTTACCATTATATCTATATTATTATTATCTCTTTTCTATTGACGACGATACCGAGGACTAACTGGTGAAAGGATCAACTCCATTCACAGTAGTAACAGTCTTAACACACCTCATACTACAAACCACATATAATTAATCCCTGCACTACTCCTTTTGGAGTCAACCAAAGCTACGACAGTCGAGTGGAGGGACGAGCTACGCAGACGTTTACCGAAGATCAGGAACCTCTACCTCACAATCAAGAGGCGAGCACAAAGAAATCAAATTGGTTTATACTAGCTCGTAAAACGATATAGGACAGTGGACCAACCTGCATGTCACTATATCTCCTTTTACTTTTGCGAAGGTGATAATTTATTTGGTTCTTTAGCGGCTCAGTGTATTAGAAAAATCCTCATCCATCCACAGATATTCAAACTAAGAACTATATGAGTTACGTTTCATGGTACAATCAAGACTGCGATTCCGGTCACCAGCCTTCTGTATACGCGACTCATTGCACTACTTCCATATTTGACTACTCCTCAGTTCAGACAAGATGGACTTTTCAGGAAACCAGTTGGTTAGGCTGCTTAAGTGATTTTGAACGCGCTTCCAGTTTTGTCGGCTAGAAATGACGACAACGACTGATGTGAGGCTATCAGTCCTACAAGATCTGAGCCCTAGACACAATACCTGCTGACTATTTGGCCTGGTCCACTTAATTTTGTGGCCGGGCTGCTCTTAACACCATTTCAGCTGGCAAAAGGGGAATACAACACCCACGGCTGCTGAAAGATGCATTTATTGGTGATGATATGAGGAGAGTGTACAAGTAGACAATTACATCACGACGAAGCTGTCAAGCTCTTGTCCCTAGAAAATTATTTCAATCACTATATGTTTCAGTCCGCACGGATAGACAAACTAATAGTTAACGGTGAAACGCCTGAGGTTCAATTGAGTTGACGAACTTCTTTGGTTCCCTACAGCTTAACTAATTCATGCTACCCGATTTCGGGTTTGATTCTGGAGGTGCACGTGTAAGGCGTGTAGGAAACAGTATGCTATGGCCACTCGGGTGTAGTAAGTAACTGAGGAATTCACAAGGATGGAAAGAGCAGCCAAGTGTGAACTAAATTTTCTTTACGGTTTGTAGGGCTTTCCTTATCTGTTTGACGATGAGGTTTCGAAAAAATTTATTTCCTATGCATTTTGATACAAAATTTGAAGTCTGTGTATATTAGATTACTCATTGTGATCTCCTTGGGTGTCTGCTTTCAGATTTTTGTGGCAACGGTAGCTAATACATAGGCAATTACATGATGTTTCGGTCAAGTTGTTTTCATCACGGTTAGCCCGGCTGTCAACTATTCTATGCTTAATAATGGTCCGCTGAAAATAATAGTCGTACGGTAATCGGAGTTGACGATGCGTCATTATAACCTACCGTGCCCTTTGGAAGCTCAATGATGAAACCCTGCAAGCAGATACTGTAACGGCGCAGACAAATAAACAGAAAAATTCCACTTATATAGAAAGTATCTTCCAGATCTTTAAAATCACTTCTCACTGAAATGTCACTTATCTGCCTCACGACAATCTTTTTATTTACGCACTATTAACTCTATTTTATCTTAACTACCTAGGCCTTTATTAAAGCAAACTTAATCTTTGTTCATATTTGTTGCTTGCTCAATTTTTGGTTGCCTTGATTAAAAACACAACAACACCAATGTTTGAACGAAGCCGCATTTTCATCGAAAACGTTATAGTTTCCATGGTAAGACCAACATGGTAAGCATTAAACATTGCAAATATAAACTATCATTCTAAGGTCTCTGTAGCTCCTTCTAGTATATACCTTGTAATTGCACTTCCAATGATGTATTATCCATGATTGTATCTTATACTGTTTTGAGGTTTCCGAGGACGTTCTCCTCCTCCGGAAATAGCTTTTAATCAAGTGTTGGCATGGCACTTACCCAAATATACGCTGCTCACTGATTGACCATAAATATCAGCAGGAAACGGAATGAAGTTCGGATTGTCGCTCAACCTTGATGGTGACCTTGTTGAAGGGTTTATAGTTCAACATTTTTGCGGACCTGTTCAAACTGCGTGTACTATAATCTAACAGTTTTAAATTTTGAAAAAGTGCTAATTTGTGATACTTCAGGATTGTAATTTGCAACATTACTGAATGTGGCTGTAAAAATGGCACGCATTTCATGTAAACTTACCAGTTAAAACAAAATATGAATTGTTATTATTATGAAGTGGTATAAAGCCGATCTATATCATATTTGGAGAAGAAATTATAACTTATTTTGCCGCCACTCACCCTGTCCTATTCGCTTTATAATTACAACCACTGACAACTTCTTGAAATCTATGGTGAAAGTCAATCATATTACTGCAACAGGAATGATTTTTGAGACGAAACCTGTATTGTCAGAACAATAACCGGATTTGTCTGCCTCAGTCGATGATGCAAGTCTTCTAAACCACCGATTTCTATTCTACTGCCATATTTATTTTGATGGGACTTAAGTTTATTTATTCTAGCCCGCACATTCTCAATATCATCAAATAGGGTAACTTTGCCGAATCTCTCATGTGTTAAATCCATCATTTCATGAACATCAGTGTTCCTTTCAAGAACTAGCTGCACGAATCCCTTTTCCTTTGATGACAGCCGACGTCTGGATACATCGGCAGACACGAAACTTTCCGTGCTTGGTTGGTTATGCACAGTTTTGTGGGTTGTTATCCAGTGTCCTTCAGCTCTATACCGTACTATAAATTCCGACTGGCATGAAATACTCTAGGACCTAACTAATTTTAAAATTTACATGCACAGCCGACCTACGTTTTGTTCCTCTAGCTAGCAACTCTAGGGGCAAGATGACCTCCAGAAGTGCATTCACAGTCCACATATTCATATGTTATAGGGTCGGACGTGTCCTTTTTACAACTTGAAGCAACCCGGTACAATGCATTTGATTCCTTCCGAAGAAATAACGAACAGGTTAGCTATCACCTTCATAAATTCAGCAAAAGCTTGTTTAAATTGCAGATGCGTATAAAATACACAAGAAAGTATTATTCTTTGAAATATACCCATTATATCAGACAATGGCGATGACACATTTCATGAAGCAAGGGCAGTAGGATTATTTTCTAACATCATGTAATGGTTTTAACAATGCTTAACAAACACAACAAAGTGATTTTAAGCGGATGAATAATAGTATATATTTCACTGCTTATATACCACTGTGGAGGTCTAGTAAATCGTAGTTGAATTATATTCACCTAGTAAGAATTCTCATACGTCTCAGTGTAATTTCAAAACTGCTAATACATCGAAATACTATGTGACTCATAACACTATACTCAGACACAAAAAAATCACACGCCATTATGATATGGTAAGTCTTCAATTCTACTGTTTTTCTGCTTGTAGCTATCCACGTGAAAATAAGAAAATTCCCGCTTTGACAAATATTTCAGACTAATAGGATGCCAACTAGCCAACAACCAATCAAAATCTGTCTATATCGACTTTTACCACATAGTCGCATAAATTCAGAGGCTTCATTGTTCATTTAATTACACAAGCCACTAACCTTGGGCAGTGTTAATCCCCAACTTTGAAAATGATCAAGGTCGCAGCTATTTTACGAGGTTGTGAGACTTTCCTCTTTGATTGTGATGGTTTGGAAAATAATGTTACTTAAGCTTATTTAAGGTGTTATTTGGAACTCCAACATTCTAATCCCATCGTCTCAGGCACTTATACAACATCTGCTTGAGTTAAAGAAGAATCTTTTCTTAATTACGAATAATAGTAGGCGGTCCGTGGAGGAATATCTTTCTAAATGTCATGGTCTTGGACTTCCAGTCTCAGAAGTATGGTCATAGTAAAATTTATTATCACAGAAAAATATAATATGCTCTGCTCATGTTGCTGCCACATATCTTCGAGATAATCTTCCTGATGGTGAGGTATACGTGATTGGCGAAAGTGGAATTAGTACGGAATTGAAAAAGTTCGGAATACCTCATCATGGTGTTGGAGTAATTTTTTTTATTTCACTCATGGTTTATATCTAGCCTGATTTACCGACAAACTTGGCTAATCCGCTTGAGGGTGTTCAGTTGAAACCGAATGTAAGGAATATGTAGTATTATCATCTTTCAGGTAAAAGCCGTACTTGTGGGATTCGATAGTCACTTCAATTACAGAAAGCTTATGCAGGCAACTTCGTACATAAGCAATGGAGCTTCTTTCTATGCTACTAACGAAGATGCTCAGCTACCAGGGGGTAACATAGTGTTACCAGGTTAGTTAAATTGTTATATAAAATGTATGTGAGCCTGTATTGTGGTGTTTGAATCAGATATTATTCATAACAATGTCACGTATACAGCAGTGGATAAAAAGTGTAAATAAACCAGTAGGGCTGATGGTTCGGCAAAAGAGACAAGTGAGTCATTGTTCACCCAATTATTTCTCTTGGTAAACTTGAATAAAGCAAAAATAACACATCGACCAGAATGAAATGACGTCATTATATTTCGTTTGGTTCTTTTCAGTCGCGTACAACCATGAACAATATATCAGTAAAAAAATATTGAAATACTGTAATTATTTATCATAAGACTGGTAAATACTAATATTACGCAATTAAATAGCCCGATGGAAGGGAATAAAAGTTGTTACTATTGTTCTGGAATTATGACTGCTGTCTAACAGGTGGCGTGCAGTCTCACTAATGGAGACTTTTACAACTTCCGGTCGGAAGTTTCTTGGAATACGCTTGGATATGTGGTCAAAAATCCTTCTTACTGTTTTTCCGATGTATGCGCTTGGGCACGTACATGTAAACTGATGCCAAAACACACATCGCACGGACAGAAAGAAGGATTTTTATCAGATTTCATCTCCCTGAATTTGTTCTTGCTTTGTTCAAGATAATATCTAGTTTCTATTAGTCCTAAGTGCATGCTATCTTGTTCTTTGGTTGATTCTTTATGCATGTTGTCAACCTTTATCGTCTTTAATGCTAATATTATCATTGCTGGCGTCCTTTTGTCCCATCTCGTTAGACTGATCCAGTACAGGTCTCAGCTTAGACTGTAACTTCCATTATTTCACATGAATTCGTACTTATATTTGTTTTGTAGTTCGCAATATCTCACGTATATATATATATATGCTGCCGTACTTTTTAGGTACTGGCTCAATAGTATCATCTGTTAAAGTTGCATCTGGAAAGGAACCTGTCGTATTTGGAAAGCCCCATAAACCCATGTTTGATCTCCTGTGTAAATATTGTGATTTGGATCCGTCTAAAACCATTATGGTTGGAGATAAGTATGTGTTATTGTCAGTTTTATATTGAACAAGTTAATCAATATATTTCAATAATTCTTTCATTTGACTAGATGTTGTGGTCATCAACATTTGCCTACCTTTTAAACAAGTAATATCACTTCCCTTCATAAGTTAACAGTATTTTAACTTCCCTGTTTCTTATTCTGTTATTTTGTGCAGCATGTTTAATCTTTACCAAACACCAGATGTAAGAGTAAATGTCCGTTTCATTGTGAAGAAGGCTCTTACAGAGAAGGTTGTGTGCCTTATGCATAATTTGAATCCTTGATTACTATCATAAATCGAAGTTAAAAATGTGGGTTATGATAAAATGCATTTGGGTCTGTGTCTTAACTGATGTGTTCCGCACAAGTTTTTTTAGCAGAAAAAGAACATTGTAGAAGTGGAGCGTATTGAGTACACAAACGTAATAACTGACATTTTCGTGAGAAATGTTATCCATACTCATTCTACTAGAAAACATCTTTGAAAGTTGAGGGATAACTCATTTTTCAACAGCTACAAGGAATTTTGTTCTAAAGCTTTTGGGACGATACACCATTTTCTTTGCACGAGTTTTTGGTAAATCATCGTTGTGGTTGGCTACAAACAGTTATAAAATGGGGTGCAGGGACAGGTTTTATGACAGTAACATCATTGAAGAGGAGACTCTGCAAGTATGCCCTTTTAATTGAGGTTTTAAATTCAAACACCGATGGTCTCCTTAATACTTTTGGTAACCTATCTTTTCAGGTGTCTACTTGGAGTGGAATGAGTTAGAGATGATCAATTTATATTCAACTTTATTTTAGATATACTTATGTATAGCCCTCCAACCATCTTACTTAAAAGACTGTTTCCTTCCTGAGAATTTTGCGGTTGCTGAAATCCTGGTATTGACATAGAAAGTTGATTTAGCTCTGGATATATTGCGCCATTTGGGGTTCAGATGATCTATCCAATTGTACATCAAAGATGGAGAATATTATATAGCGGTACACTGCTGCAATCTATAGATGTTAAAAGTATCTTCATAACTGTTACGTTACGTTTCTTTACTTGTTCTGTCCATTTTGCTTTTGTCCTAATGCATTTTACCAACTTACCTGTCTCGCTTCTAACTGACATGCAAATGTATGGTGTAGCGACTTGGGTCACTACACAGTAATACTAGGTCCTATGTTGATATTTCCTGCTTCTGTCCTATTCGTAGTTACCAAACTTTTTCACCGGTATTCAGTTAGTTATTGTCTTTCGTCACACATAACTACCCACAGTTGTGTCATTTTGTGTGTATTATCTGTTTTTGTGTAATATTTCGGATTGTTGAAACTCAAACTTATGCAGTTATGTACAGTTTTCACCGTTGATCTGTTCTGAAAATCTTCCTTTAGCATTCGTCAGTATGTAGTATATTAGGTGTATTGCTGTAACTAATGCTTACTGTATTGAACTGTTGGTAAATGCAGGCTATGTTGATATGTGTGGTGGTTCGAAGAGTTCGTTAAAAGATTATTTATACTTTCGACACATCTGTACAGACTTCAGTCAAATGTTGACTGAAACGAACTGTAGAGATCTGAAAAATAATCCCAATCGAGTATTTAAAATAGCAGCTGGAAGTCAGTAACTTCATTTATAGACGAAGACTTAATCCGCTTGACTCCGAGTACAATGAAGAGCAAAGGTAGTTCGCAATTAAAGTAATGCAATAATAGTTGAAGAGGTAAACAACTGAAGCATGAGGTTGTCAAGGAGTTCTGCTGTAACAGGCAACTTCTTAGACTGGTCGAGAAAATTGTGAAATATTAATGCAACTTCTTACATATTTGTGTATTTATTCAGGAGTCAGTGAGGTAACCCAAATAAATAAGTACCATCTAAGATATATCAATAAAGGTTTGTTTTATGATCAGCAATGCGTACATTATTTATTTCGCCATCAATTGTTGTTGACACTTTTGTGGTTTATTTCCACCTAAATTTCATGGTTCCATTTCATTGTTATTTTTGATGCGATTTTCCATTACTGGCTTTTCAGTGTTTTGTGTGATATGACAACTCGATATGAATTGTTTACTGGGTTCCACTAATACAGTCTATTCTTTAAATTTTTAGTTTATATACTGACATTGCATTTGGAAACAAATTTGGCTTACACACAGCTTGTGTACTGAGTGGCGTGACAAATCAGAAATTAATCGATAAAGTAAACACTACACCTGGAGATGAAATACTTCGACCGAAATTTGTTTTCGAATCCGTTGCAGATATATTAAATATTTTGAAGACTACTTAACTCACTCTACTCGTTATCTTATGTTTTTCTTGAATAGCGCTCATAATTTTGTATTTCACTTTTTTGTGTTTGTTCATGTGTCTCATCGATATGTAGTGGACTTTTGAAAAACGAAAAATTTTCAAATTTTTATCTGCTAACGTAATATAACTTTTTCTAATGTTAGTTTACGTAACCATAGATATGAGAAATTGCCTCTGAATTTTTTTTTTTCTTGAAATCAATTGTAATTTTTCATCAAATTAAAAAAATCCTATTTAGCATACTTTTATTGCCTTTTTGTAAAAAGAAAACAAGCCTTTTTATCTAGAAGTGCGGAATGCAATATGAATTACACCTTAGTATGAACTCGTTAGTTAGGTATGCTTGCATTTCAAATAGTTATGTATTTCTAAGTTGGGTTCATTCACTCGGTCACTGATTTGATGGGTTTATAATGTAGAAAAATGTGATGATTTTGTCTGATTCAAAGACTTTGTTCTGTAAAATTGTTCTGGAGTTAAGAGAATCCCAGTCATTGACTGTATTAACACTTAACTCAAAAGATTGTATTTAATTGGCGGTTGCTGTATCAATACTTGGTCGTCCCTAAAATTACTACCTGAACAGATTTATGTGTATGAAAAAGTTTTCTAAACTGTTCCATTAGAATTTTCAAGTATTGGTTTTGGAGGATTTCATCGTGAGTTGACATCAGTTAGAGAACCAAGAACTAAAGGACCAAGATACAAAGGACATCTTTACTGCAAGCATAAAGGACAAAGCTGAGACACAAATCAACATTAGCGAAGAGGTCAGCGTCGAAAAACACTGGGACAACCTGAAAGCGGTATGGAGCGAAACCTGCATGGAAGTGCTGGGCAGAAAGAAGAGACAGGACAAACCGTGGCTCACTACGGACACTTGGAGGCTAATAGAAGAGAGAAGGATGGTGAAACAAAAGATTATCCAGTGCACCGACGAGCAACAGAAACAGGAGTTGAATGCAAGCTACAATACACTGAACAAAGGAGTAAAGAAGAGTGCCAGAGAAGACAAAAGAAAGTATTATGAAGCCATGGCCAATGAAGCAGAACAAGCAGCAGGCAAAGGAGACCTCGCAACACCCTACCAAACAACTAGGTACCTCTCAGGCAAAAATTCGTCACAAATTAAGCCAGTGAAGGATGACAATGGAAAGTCAATCACCAAAGAAGTGGAGCAAAGAAAACACTGGGCTGAACACTTCAAAAGACTACTAAACCGACCGCCACCTACAACGCGCCCAACAATACCAACAACGGAAGCAGAATTACCAGTGAACACCAACCCCTCGAGGAGAACAGAAGTCCTGAAGGCAATCAAGATGCTGAAAGCTGGAGAAGCAGCAGGACCAGATGGAATCCCAGCAGAGGCATTGAAAGTGGACCCAGAGACAACAGCGGACTTGATGACGCCACTACTGGAGAAGGTGTGGAAAGAAGGCAAAATACCCGAGGATTGGAAGAAAGGATACTTATTCAAACTACCAAAGAAAGGAGACTTAAGTCAATGCAAGAACTGGCGCGGAATTATGCTCCTGTCCATCCCAAGCAAAATACTAAGCCGCATCATCCTGGAAAGGATCAAACAAGCCCTGGATGAAAAATTTCGACCGGAACAGGCTGGATTCAGGAGAAACAAGTCATGTATTGATCAAATCGCCACACTACGGATCATCATTGAACAAAGTTTGGAATGGCAGTCACCTCTCTATCTCAACTTCATCGACTTTGAAAAGGGCTTCGACAGCGTCGATCGAGAGGTGATTTGGCAACTACTTCGCTACTACGGGGTGCCACCGACAATTATACATCTCATCCAACAGTTGTATGACAACGCTGCATGCCAAGTAATCCACAACGGGAAGCTCACGGAATCCTTCGAAGTGAAGACAGGAGTAAGACAGGGTTGCCTACTATCGCCAATGATTTTCTTGATTGCAGTAGATTGGATAATGCGACAAACAGCGGGCAATGAGGAAACAGGCATAAAATGGACTCACACAAAGAACTTGGAGGATCTGGACTTCGCCGATGATATATGTCTGATTTCCCACAAACTGGAAGATATGCAAATGAAAAGCAACAAGTTGGCAGAAGAAGCATCAAAGATAGGAAGGCGTTCAGGTGAACATGGAGAAAACAGAGGTGATGAAGATTCCTCACCCAACACCAACAGCCACAGCAACAACAGCAGACAGCAATCAGCATAAATGGAAGGAACCTGAAAGAAACTACCTCCTTTACCTACTTGGGAAGCATTGTTTCAACTACAGGCGGAACTGACGAGGATATCAAAGCAAGGATCGGAAAAGCAAGACAAGCTTTCATTACTCTGAAGTCTGTGTGGAGGTCAACAGCATTCAGCGTCAAAAATAAGATCCGGATTTTCAACTCTAATGTGAAGTCAGTACTACTATACGGATCAGAGACTTGGCGTGTCACAAAGAGCACCTCAAACAAGCTACAGACCTTCATTAACAGATGTCTTCGCTCAATACTCAAGATCAGATGGCCGGAAAGGATCAGCAACAGAGATCTCTGGCAATGAGCGAACCAACACAGCAGGAACCGATTGTGAAACAAATAGGCAGGAAGAAATGGAGATGGATTGGCTGGTCATACTCTGAGGAAACAATGCATCAAGTGACATCACTAGACAAGCCATTGCTCGAGTGGAACCCGACCGAATGGGAAGCGGTGAGTTGGTCGTCAGTGCAAGGGTGACTTGGAGGAGGTCATGTGAAGAAGAATTGAAAGCGTATGGGCAGACTTGGAGCCAGGTGAAAACTCTAGCAGAGAACCGAACGCAATGGAGACGCATGGCTGAAGCCCTATGTTCCTCTAGGAACTAAAGGAAATAATAATAATAATAATAATAATAAGAGAACCATTGGAAAACCAACTGAGAGTACTGGACAGTTGTTTTCCCAGGTTTTCCAATGGTTCTCTAACTGATGTCAGCTCATGATGAAATTCTCCAAAGTTGGTTGAATTTCCCCTCATCCTATAGGAAAAATCTCGAATTGTTGAAATGTATAAAGGATTATCGTCATCATCTAATCCATGGCACACAAGGAAATTTACAACCACTGTAATATAAATGTTGAGTTTTGTCATCAGATATTCCACTTGCAACAATATATTCATTAAATCAATTTTTGAAGATTTGTAAATTCATGTGAACATTTTTTGTGTTCGTTATCAATAAGATTATAAATTAACAAATTTCATATTTTTCCTTTTACTCATAAACAAATCAGTCAGCTGACATTTAGCAACAATTAATTTTGTATTTATTAGATTCATGGATTGATGGTTGTTAAATCCAGAATCCCAATCCAACAGTGGATTTGGACGTCTTATTAAAATAGAGCATTCTCATTCACTTACATAAAGCTCCCTTACATGCAGCCATGTAAGAGTTTACGGAGAGTTGTCATCTGAAGTGGTGACAACCAGCGGTGTCCGTCAGCGATGCCCACTGTCCTCATTTCTGTTTAATTTCATCATAGATGTACCAATGGACTTAACCCTAACTGACTTCAGCGACTCAGGGATTGACTTGTTACCAGGGAATAATCTCGTTGACTTAGAATATGCAGATGATATAGTCCTTCTAGGTGAAGACGCTGACAAAATGCATCAGAGTCTTCTGAACACCTTGACAGGCAGCAATCTTCGAATGTTTGGCATGCGATTCGCTCCCTTTGTCAAATGTAAGATGATGCTACAGGACTGGACTACATTGACTCCTAGGTTGGAAAACAGCTAGTGGTGGTCAAACCAAAACATGGCATCAGCCAATTAAATCCACAACGGTTAGCTTGAGCTACGTAGGGAGGTGTAGACTTCCTTGTTGGGGTCCTCGGGATGGTAAGAACCAATGAAGGGTGGGAACAATTGGTGATATGGCTCAAAATCGTTCTCAATGGCTGGCGCAGATGCACCCACTCCTTTTGATTTATGATATCCAATAAAACTATATTCTTCTTCCATATTACTATTCTTTTTGCCTCATATTTTTGTTTATTATCTCTCTCTTTTGAATCTCTGTTTACTTTCTTCTCTGGCTTTGTGTGTTACATGGAGGGAGTTTGGCGACTCGAACTGCTGCACATCTGTGTAAAGTTCTACGTTGAGACCAGTCAGTCACTCAGTCCCTTACATACATACTTTATGCTAATTTGTAAACATTTAGTTGAATTTTATCTATTCACAACAACGAATTTTGTTTTAAGAATTCAGCATGCAGCTATCCTTATCTTTTTCTCGATAGAAATGGCATATAATTAGCACTAAACTGTATTAGCAACACATTTAAGTTTATTTAACAAGGTCATCACGAAGAAGAGTATACTCTTGATGATCAGAAAGTATATGTCTGTGACGGAATCCAATTTATAGCTGGACTTTAAAGTTACGAATAAATAGATGCCTATACCTTAAGACGACAGTAGGATTAACTTCTATTACTTAAGAAAGTCCTTAAGGATTGGCTTTATTGCATGTCCGCGCTAATTGTAGCGTCTTAGTCCGTTGCTATCGTGGTTTCATGACAATTTATATTCTTTGTGCCATTATATTCTTCAAATGCATTACATTTGCTGCACTTTTATCAGAAAATGTTGCTTGATACTGATATCTGCGCAATGTAATGGATCAGAGGCTGCAGTTGGTTAAAAGTAAAACGTATATTATTGAATTTTCCTGAAATCATGCTGGTATATTATTACGGTCTATTTATGAAACGCCCTAATACCCATCGGAAAAAGTAGGTGGCTCCACTTCTAAAAACGGATATGTCACGTAATCGCCCGTCCTGAAGTGTTTGTTAGCTCTACGACTTGGGTGTTTCAGCGTGTTGGAATTCATCTCCAATGTAACATGCTACCGTATGAATCAACAATTTTTGTCGGCATATTTATACAATTTGTAAAGTAGAGTAGTTAAGAGGAGTGATTGAATTTAATTGAAGGTCAGTGAGCATTATCGGCCTTTCTACTACTGATACTCGAATTATCTATATCGCTTATTTTTGTCTCAATATTAGAGTGTGAATAGTTGCTTTTTATAAAAGAAAAGCTCATCAGTGAATGTTTGGAGACTATGGATGTGACATTTAGTCGCATCAAATTCACAAGAGAAGAAGAATTAGATAACAAAATCCCATTTTTAGATGTCTTAATCAGGAGAACCAACACAGGAGATTTAGAGACACAAGTATATAGAAAATCAACGCACACAGATCAAATACTCAACTATACTAGCAATAATCCAATTACTCACAAACGAAACTGTGTGCAGACATTGTTTAAAAGAGTTCAAACACATTGTAGCACT